CCACGCCTTTTTACCCACGACCCACGCCTTTTTACCCACGACCCACGCCTTTCTACCCACGACCCACGCCTTTTTACCCACGACCCACGCCTTTTTACCCACGACCCACGCCTTTTTACCCACGACCCACGCCTTTTTACCCACGACCCACGCCTTTTTACCCACGACCCACGCCTTTTTACCCACGACCCACGCCTTTTTACCCACGACCCACGCCCTTTTACCCACGACCCACGACATTCTACCCACGACCCACGACTGTTAGCTAGTCCCTACGAGGTGAACAAAATCCGCATTAAAATCACTTCAAATATTGTACAACTGAACAAGTCACACGACAAGAGAAACAATACTATTTGCTTGATTGTATTTAAAAATAAATAATCCATATTTTCACGACATTTTAGAGAAATAACCAGAATTAGTGCAGAAAATTTCTAATACGTTATATTAATTCGTCCGTTTGTTTATATTCGCATAAATTATATATTATTTCATTACTATTTTCCATATTTCACGCTGACAATACGTCAGACTCCGTGTTTCCATATTTTTCTCTGACGTCAGACTCCGTGTTTTCCATATTTTATAGTGGACTCCGTGTTTTCCATATGACTCCGTGTTTTCCATATTTTTCTCTGACGTCAGACTCCGTGTTTTCCATATGACTCCGTGTTTTCCATATTTTTATGACGTCAGACTCCGTGTTTTCCATATGACTCCGTGTTTTCCATATTTTTATGACGTCAGACTCCGTGTTTTCCATATTGACTCCGTGTTTTCCATATTTTTCTCTGACGTCAGACTCCGTGTTTTCCATATGACTCCGTGTTTTCCATATTTTTATGACGTCAGACTCCGGGACTCCGACTCCGGGACTCCGACTCCGGAACTCCGACTCCGAAAATTTTTTGTATTGTTGATATATTTTATTATTACTGAGATTTTCAGTTGAGCTTAGAGACAGGAAGTTTAGCCAGATAGTTTAATCGTTGAAACTTACAAGTTACCAAAGACAATTTCCAATGTTGTCTAGCGAAAATGAGAATGTTTCATGAAAAATTTAAGGACTTTCCACCAATCACAGCATTTGAAGGAATTTGAATCTGTTTGCTATGATTGGTCGAAAGTGCTTAGACAACATGCACAGATTACATCACAAACATTGCTTTCTAAACGGCAAAACTTTGCTGATCTAAGCTCAACTGCAAATTGCATAATTTATTCAATTGAATTCATTGTTTTGATTGGCCAATAGCCATAAGCGAATTTGTCATCAATTCAATAGCAATTATATGGAGGGGTGACCTACATTGAGGGTGACCTATTAATCAATGCTATAATGTTGGTTTTCAGACATATACTAATCAACACTCTGACATCATGCTAGTGACGACAATGATGTAGTGACTGCAGAAGGTGTGAAGAGCAACATGCATAAATTTGTTCTACAACCGGCTACTGTTTTTTCTTTTAAATAAATAATAAAACAATTATTGAATCCCCCCACCCTAATAACCTAATATATGAATTACTCCAATTGGCAGGGCAATTAAGGATCTTGCAGGACAATTATGACAAACACTTCCAAACTAAAGCAAAATTAACTTCGCCCCTGGTTGAGCCAATAGCATAGGATAATAGCATAGTTGCCAACTCTCACTGACCCACCATAAGCATCACAGATTTTACTAAAACCCAACTGTGACCTCACAGCTACAGTAATTGTTACTGTCTCACAGATTTTCATGTTTCAAAAATAACCTAACAGATTCTCATAAATGTTTCACTATAAGTGCAAATTTCTACTGCACTGATCGATCAATTAATAATAATCTATCCATTTTGATTCGATTGTGTCAAATTGTGTGTTGATGAAACAAAATTGTAATAAAATAATTCATAAAAAAGCCCAAAGCAAAGGAATAGAAATTAATGCTGAAAGGCCTGTTTCTGTCGATGTAGTGACTCCAAATTTTCAAAACATTTCTTGCTCACCAGGAAATTAGAAGTGAGACCAATCTCACAGATATTTTTTTTCGAAAGTTGGCAACTATGAATAGATTTGACCTGAGAAATGTTGAGCATGCATTTCATTTCCTATAATTTTGAAGAAACATCTTTGAATACAGTACTTTAATTTTGAATTACTGTCGTTCCAATTGAAGTGTTCCTCAAATATTGATTCAATACATTACCTCAGGCTGACCAATTCATTTCATCAAGTTCCTCGAGATATTCATACACTTCCTGTGAAAGAGCCAATTCCAAGAATTTGATCATTTCTGGTCACTTCCTTTGTATTTATGATTGGTTAGTTGCACAAACAACAAAGGTGATTGGTGCATTCAAACTATTCAACAGGAAGTTTACAATTATACTAGGAAGTGTATGAATATTTTGAGGAACTTGATCAAATGAATTGGTCAGCCCGAGGTAACACTTCAATTGGAATGACAGTAATTGATCAATCAAAATCGGTAACATTAGAACGCTTCTATAGTCACAACTGTAAATATACTATTGTCAGAGCTGAGAGGAATTTATTTTATGTATGTATTTATTTTATATGAATTAGAATACAAATATTCCATGTTGCAGCTAGTCCTACATGCAAGAGAATGTTGCATGTAATGTTGTAATTAATTAGAACTATATATCTTAATTAACCACAAACTAAATTCATACACATAAGTGAGGGTTATGACCATAGGTGTACGGGCCTACCTGTATCTCATTTGGGGAGGGGCTAAACTTACCCGAGAATTTTCCATGTCACCAGAATAAAAATATGTAATACTATACTGTAGTCTCATTGTCTGAAGTCCATGGGCGTACGGGAAGGAAAAAATTAGGGGGGCGGAAAGAAATTTTCCTGACTTTTTCAGTTTGTGCTCGAGTTGTCAAAAAAAATTTTCCGGACAAACTTTCCAAAATTGTTGTCGTCGGGGGGGGGGGAGAAATGATTACGAAAAATTCCTATTAGATACAGTAGCATATTTCCCACAAAATTGACAGAATTTCCCACAAAATTGACAGAATTTGCCCCATTATAATTAGCCAATATTGCCCGACTGTGAAGCAAATATTGCCCGACTGGCTTTGTTTGCCCAACAAACTGGGGGGGGCTGCCACCCCTCTGCTCCCCCCCCCCTCCCCCGGCCCGGTATGCCCATGCTGAAGTCTGTGCCAGAAAAAAGAGATACAGGTATAATTTGCCCAAATTTCCTAAAAAAAATTGATGATTCATCAAGTGTTGGGGGCTGCATGCAGCCCCAGCCCCGTCTTGTATGCCTATGACACCCATATATCCACAAGTCATATAAATTTTGCTTAATTGACAAATAAGTGTATCCTAAGTAAGAAGTGATGCTGTAATTATGATACTATTGCAACAACAAAAAAACTTTGATGAATTTGTTTCATAGGACCTAAATGATGATAATGAACAGAAAGAAGAGTGTGTTTCTCAGGATCTGTTTAACTTGCAGAGACAGGTACAGTAACTACTGTAATTTATGTTAACAAAATGTCTCTAATAAGTATATACACAAAAAAAAAATAAAAAAATAATACAATTAAAAAAAATAATAAAAATAAAAATAATAAAAATAATACAAAAAAAAAATTATTATTATTAATTATTATTATTTTATATTAAAAATAATACAATTTTTTTTGTAGTATTACACAAGGTAGATGATTATTTTAGTTAATCTTGCTGATGCAATAATTTTAAATTAAATATTTGTCAAATAAAGCATGAATTTGACTTCGGTGAAAGCCTTCTGCTATTTATAACTTGTAAACAAGTAAAGTTTTCCGCCAATGTAATATTGGTTGCTGACGTTTTTGCCTGGCATAACTGAAACCAATACACTGATTATCAAACTGAAATTTTAGACATCTTTGAAATTAAGAATAAAAATAGTTAATTAAACAAATTATTACGGCATAATTCCAGGTCCAGTGCTGACATGTGTTAGTTGCCGTTGCAACTCATCGTGATTAATTAAATTGATGATATTATTCCTTGTTCTACCTCAAGAATGAGGGGTCCTCTGCATGCTCTGGTGCCGAGTTGTGTCGGTCATGTGTGCCGCCTGCATCAATCCATCCCTGCATGTTCTAGCTTGTACACTTTGTTATGTCATTTGTAGTATAGTGAATCGGGGGGGATTTAGTTGCTACAATATAAGAGAATTCCCTATATATAAATGCTTCCCTTTTATTAGCCCCTGCAGTATGAAACCCCAAATCTGTATTAAGTTCACTGCTTAGTGGCTTTGGTGGTGCAATCGTCAGAGCAAGCATTATTCACCTCTGAGATTGTGGGTTCGATCCTCACATTCGACTAAAGACACTTATGTGAAAAGAGTTAGTCAACACTCTACCAAACGTCTGGTTTCCTACCACAGGGAATGTTGACAGAGTGGGTTGGGATTAGCCCCTAACTGACCCTTCCACCATACCTGTGCACCATGACCAGACGTGGCTGCCAGAGTGTCCTGAGTGAGCCTTTGACTCGATCAGGTTGAGCTGCGTTCTTCGCAATTCAGCTCAGCTCTCAGCTGCAAGTAAGCATGATTAGTAGCTAGTACATGCAAGCAAGGATGATAAGATCCTAATTCCATTCCTAGTACACCCCCAATTACTCACTTACTTACTTAACAGGTTATTAAATTAATGGATTATTGAAGGTTTTTGTAGATGGAAATGATGAGTGTACATTTTATACAATTATTACACCTAGCCAGGAGCAGTTGCAAAACTGTAGGCCCTCTGGTAGGAAACAGTCATGTGGCCCTGTGAATGCAATTCCAGTGCAGTGCTCTAAGCTGTACTTTTGTACATGCAAATTTTGAGTATAAATTTTACAGTATATTTTTATTCGGGAGCAGTTGCAAAAAGTGCAGCTATGGGCCAGGCTCTGGCAGGAATGGACCTGTGGCCCATGACCTTGCAGCTAGTGCTTGACAACTAGAATCTTTAGCTCGCATGGCTTGCCTGATTCTTGAAATTTCCATCTATAAAAATCCTTCAACAATTAGTTCTATCGAGTGCAATGCCCAAAATGCTGATAACAATATTTGTTTCATGTTTCAAATTTTGTTTTTAATATTAATTAGCCATCAACACAAACGAGAAAACCGTTTTGGTTCCAAACTGTAGAATTCCAGTTGATGTTGTGAGGAATGAAAGATGATGTCAACCAATAATGAACTATCAGATGCTCAGCGTATGTCATTGCATGCCATTATGTTTTCGAGGCTATCCACTTAGTTATGACTTATGTGGATTGTGTCAATCAGAGTTGTGTTGTTGGCAGAGGTTAATTTTTAAAAAGTGTTATCTTAATTTGTATACAGGTGTATTGATGGTTGCATGATTGTAGTCCTAGCTTATATATTGTAAATATTTAATAATTTTAGCTATTATTAAATTTGTGAATATTATTAAATTGGCACTCTTTTGTTTATTTTTTTATTCCAATTAGATCTGTGATCTGAGACCAAGCTGAACAAAGGTGTAATTTTGCACACCTTCCAAGATGTGTATTTTCAAGCTGTGTAGCAAGCGAAAAGGCGTGTTATTTTCCACACCTTGCAAGGTGTGTGTAAAAAAGCACGCCTTTAGGTGTGTAATTTGTTCGCAGAGATCCAGGGCAAAATACACAGCTTATGGTGTGTAAAAATACACACCTTTTTGAAAAACACACCTTAAGATGTGTGAATTTGGCGACAAGCAAAAACGAAAAAAACACCCCTTAAGGCGTGTTTTTTCACACACCTTTATCTTGCAAACATACACCTTGAGTAAAAATACACACCTTTTCCGGAAAATACACACCTTAACCTGTGTAAAAAAATCACGCCTTAATTAAGGTGTGAATTTGGCGACAGATACACACCTTATTTTTTAGAGTGCATTAAACTACACCCTCATGCTCACCGAGATATATATCTCTAATCAAGCATTTATATGACCATGGTTATAGATACCGAAAACCGGTATACTTTCTATTTCTAGATTCTGTAGTGGTATGTGCATACTAAACTACACTCTCATGCTCACCGAGATATTTGTCTGTTAAAAATTTTTATACGACCATGGTTATATATACCGAAAATAACCGGTATACTTTCTATTTCTAGATTCTGTTGTTGAATATCAATAACAAACTGCAACCCTCTTACCCAAATACTTGTCTCTAATCAGGTTTTTGTATGACCCTGCATGGTTATACATACCGAAAACCGGTATCCTTTCTATTTCTAGATCCTGTAGTGATATGTGCATACTAAACTACACCCTCATGCTCACCGAGATATATGTCTCTAATCAAGCATTTATATGACCATGGTTATACATACCGAAAACCGGTATCCTTTCTATTTCTAGATTCTGTAGAGGTATGTCCACACTAACTACACCCTTATGCTCACCTTATCTATGTAACTACACCCTAATGCTCACCGAGATATATGTCTCTAATCAAGTATTTACATGATCATGGTTATACATACCGAAAACTGGTATACTTTCTATTTCTAGATTCTGGAGTGGTATGCTCATACTAAACTAGTCACCCTCATGCTCACCGAGATATATGTCTCTAATCAAGTCTTTACATGACCATGGTTATATATACCGAAAATCGGTATACTTTCTATTTCTAGATTCTGTAGTGGTATGCCCATCAATAGTAAACTAAACCCTCATGCTCACCGAGATATTTGTCTCTAATCAAGTATTTATATGACCATGGTTATATATACCGAAAACCGGTATACTTTCTATTTCTAGATTCTGTAGTGGTATGCCCATCAATAGTAAACTAAACCCTCATGCTCACCGAGATATTTGTCTCTAATAAATTTTTATACGATAATGTTTATATTACTGCAACCCTCTTACCCAAATACTTGTCTCTAATCAGGTTTTTGTATGACCATGGTTATATATACCGAAAACCGGTATACTTTCTATTTCTGGATTCTGTACACAGGTATGGGCATGCTAAACCACACTGTCATGCTCAGCGAGATATTTGTCTCTAAACAAGTATTTATATGACCATGGTTATATATACCGAAAACCGGTATACTTTCTATTTCTAGATTCCGTAGTGGTATGCCGAAACTAAACTACACCCTCATGCTCACCTAGATATATGTCTCTAATCAAGTATTTATACGACCATTGTTATACATACCGAAAATCGGTATACTTTCTATTTCTAGATTCTGTAGTGGTATGTGCATACGAAACTACACCCTCATGCTCACCTAGAAATATATCTCTAATCAAGTATTTATATGACCATGGTTATACATACCGAAAACCGGTATACTTTCTATTTCTAGATTCTGCAGTGGTACGTGCATACTAAACTACACCCTCCTGCTCACCGAGATATTTGTCTCTAAACAATTATTTATATGACCATGGTTATACATACCGAAAACCGGTATACTTTCTATTTCTAGATTCTGTAGTGGTATGCCCATCAATAGTAAACTAAACCCTCATGCTCACCGAGATATTTGTCTCTAATAAATTTTTATACGATAATGTTTATATTACTGCAACCCTCTTACCCAAATACTTGTCTCTAATCAGGTTTTTGTATGACCATGGTTATATATACCGAAAACCGGTATACTTTCTATTTCTGGATTCTGTACACAGGTATGGGCATGCTAAACCACACTGTCATGCTCAGCGAGATATTTGTCTCTAAACAAGTATTTATATGACCATGGTTATATATACCGAAAACCGGTATACTTTCTATTTCTAGATTCCGTAGTGGTATGCCGAAACTAAACTACACCCTCATGCTCACCTAGATATATGTCTCTAATCAAGTATTTATACGACCATTGTTATACATACCGAAAATCGGTATACTTTCTATTTCTAGATTCTGTAGTGGTATGTGCATACGAAACTACACCCTCATGCTCACCTAGAAATATATCTCTAATCAAGTATTTATATGACCATGGTTATACATACCGAAAACCGGTATACTTTCTATTTCTAGATTCTGCAGTGGTACGTGCATACTAAACTACACCCTCCTGCTCACCGAGATATTTGTCTCTAAACAATTATTTATATGACCATGGTTATACATACCGAAAACCGGTATACTTTCTATTTCTAGATTTTGTAGTGGTATGGGCATACGTACTAAACCACACACTCACGCTCACCTAGATATATGTCTCTAATCAGATTTTTCTATGACCATGGTTATTTACAACCTCGTACCCAGGGCCTTTGCGCGGTTCAGAGGCTCTGGTACGGGAAGCAAAGGCCCTGGTAAACACTGGTCATGTGACTCCAAAAATATTGGACATTTCGTAATAATTTAGTTTTCAATCCGGGGGGAGTGGAGCCGATTGATTTTATCAAACATGGCAGCGCGAAGGCGCAACGTTTTCGAGTTTTTATATTATTATGATAAATAAAACTTTCCTAGTGAGATTTAAGAGTGGTATATATTATCTATGCATTCTACGAGCTTTCTTTCAACAAATTGTGGAATAGCTAACGGTAATACTTATCAAAGGTCGAAGGACGAAGATCAAACTGAGAGAAAACTAGTCGAGTGATCTGTCTAACTGTCTTTAAACTGTCTATTTTATATCCAATGCAGCTGCTTGTGTGCGACGTTTTATAAAGAATTAAATAAACATTGTTGATTATAAGTAATTTTTATGTATTGACCAAAGAATATCACTTGGGATTTTATGTACTTTTATGGAAGGATAAGTCAGAGGGGACATCTATGGAAACGAAATTCTTCATGTGTATTCAACATGTAGTTATCAAAGCAGAATATTTTGAAACAATTAACTGGTCGAGTGACAGGTTGGTTTCCGTATGTATGTAGTTTAAAATACAGTTGTGAATGAAATTATACACAGTATCTTGAAACCTTTGTGTGTGTGAGTTAATTTCATATTTATTTTTTGGGATGTATCATCTATATTTCTGTTTGTCTGGAAGGGGGGGGGGGGGTACCAATCCTGAGAAATAATATACAGTGATCTTGAAACAACAAATTTACTATGAATCTTATATCAGTGATATGTGACTTAGGAGTCTTAAAGGCAAATAACAGTCTGTATACTGGGTGTGCGTTCACCTATTTGTTTACATTTGCAGTTACTGTACATCGGTTCATGATTTATGAAATTTGAACCAAAGCTGTAACATAATATTAGTCACGGCACAAGTCACTAATAATTTTAGGGTAAATATTTTTCTGAAATACTTCATTTGTCAGTTGCATCTTATAGTATATACTGTAATAATATCTTGAAAAAAGCTGTAATTGTACCCTGTCTAATAGCTTTGGTTCAATACAATTGGCAACTGGGCTGTCTTAGAATTCATGAAAGACCTTTGCTACAACCCCAAGAAAACATGCCTTTTATCAGGAGATCAATTAAATTCTCTGCTTCAACCAGATTAACCACACAAATGTTATTGTCACCATTGTGACTACCGACACTTTTTACAAATAATACACTGATAGTTGAGCACCGAGACTCTGACTGACATATCATACTTTGTTTTCAAATATCTTTGGCTTTGGTTAAAAACCAACAATTATACATTCTTAAACATTTTAAATACTTCAGCCTACATAATTTCCATAATGATGGTCAATTATTCCACTTACTGAGAATACTATAATTACCATAAAAATTCTTTATTCACAGCTGGTCTAAAAAATTGGGTGTTTTGATGCATCATACTTTTGTCAGTAAAATTAAAAACCTATTTAGTCCTATCCGGCTATGCAGAGTTTTATTTGTATTGAGGAGGTAGGGCTTAGAGAGACACAGAGGCTTAATGAATATGGTTACACTGAATTTTATCAGTAAGTAAATTTCATTTTTTACATCCTGAAACCAAAAATCGCCATATTATGCATGAATTACATACTGTATCACTTTCACTTGTCACAGAGTGAACATACCAAATTCAAACAACATTCACACTGTTTCAAGATGAAATAATCAACTGATTTTTTGGGCAGACAATATAATTCATGAGGGGAAAAAATAAATATTTATATGTGTGCACATAGTTTCAAGATCAGCTAACGGGATTGAAACCAGCTTTCCCAGCTTGGAGCTGATGAGAACAGTTAAACACAAAATGGCATGGGACTTAATTCATCTAGGTGGCAATATATTGCCTTCTCATGCACCAGCACAATTGATCAAGTCATACACATTCACTACTGCCAATCTCTTTATTATTTATGTCTCATTACAAATACAATATATTTTCATTATCAGCAGTATCATTACAACTTGTGCATCACCAATATCATGACCTATCATCACAACTTGTATTTCACTACCATCATCATCATTATTCTGACCATTCTAATTTTATTAGTCAATCA